CATGGATGGAGAGCAGTCATTCCTGAGGCATTTTCTCTAGCTCAAGTTACCAATAGATAAGAAAGAACACATACATGCAAGAGGGCAGAGCTAAGCATAACAGACAGATTTACCTGAAAGGTGGAGGGCAAGTCAACAGAAAGGAACATTCCAAATGACATTACATCCTTTGGATTCCAAAGACAAGGGCTGGGTTTTTATCTTTAGTCACTGCTGAGGTATGATTTGCTACAAAGGACACCACTAATATCCTCTCTCCAGCAGGGACCTGCATTATGATAAGAAAAAAGCCACTTGCCTTCTCTCTGAAAAGAGCAGCTAGAATCAGGGAAGCAAGTACAATGGATCTATGCACCCCTATGTTCCTTGCAGCATTATTGGCAATAGCCAAGATATAGAAGCAACCCAAGAACCCATCAACAGGCTAGTGGATTTGAAAGCCGTGGTACATACAGGGTGGGGCAAAAATAAGTTTACAGATGTTCATATGGAAAATAATACAATAATTAATAAATATTAATATAAGAATAAACTCTACATTTTGTGTACTCACAACTGTAAACATACCTTTATCCCACCCTATATATACAATGGAGTATTATTTGACCATAAAAATATGGAATCTTAATATTTATGATAGCATGGATGGACCTAGAGTGTATTATGCTGAGCGAAATAAGTCAGTCAGAGAGAGACAAATACCATATGATTTCATTTATATGTGGAATCTAAAGAACAATGCAAATGAACAGACAAAAAAGAAACAGATTCAAAGATATAGAGCACAGACTGATGGTTGCCAGAAGGGAGGGGGTTGGGGGACTGGGTGAAAAAGGTGAAGGGATTAGGAAGTACAAATTGGTAGTTTGGAAACAGTCATGAAGATATAAAGTACAGCACAGGGAATATAGTCAATAATATTGTAACAACTATGTATGTTGTCAGGTAGGTACTTGAAATAGCAAAGGAAGACTTTGAAAAGTAAATTATTGTCTTAACACTACGATTTACTATCAAATAATATTAAATGTAAACTCTAATTGAAAAATAATTTTTTTAAAAAAATTTTAAACACCATCTCTCCTGGAGTAGAATTGTGACTCAGCAAGGCAGTGTGGGGAAAGCCTAGATAAGAATGCAGAAGACAGTCTGTATGATCCTGACAATATATAATGAATCAAGGCCTGTGGGGCAGCATTTGGGGGTGCAGGAGACTCATGGTAGTAGCACCAGGCTCTCTGGAATTTTTTTAAAAGATGATGAATATAGCCAACACACAAGAACTAAATAACTTGCCACCACAAATGCCAAACAGAATCTATTTGATTCAAAAGCATGAAATACACCAAGTTTGTAGTTAAAAGTCAGAGTGAAGGGTATATATATTTTAAACCACAGACTGAACAAAACCTAGCTTAATTATCCTCTTAAGATTTAAACCAATTCTAAGTGGGTTAAATATACAAATTTAAAGGAGTACATTCTAGTGTGTCAGGACAGAATCAATTTTATAAAATGGAATCAGGTACTAACTGAATATCAAAACTTGCTCAGAATCAGGCTTAAACAGTAGCTTGAAAATTCAACTCCAATTAGAATAAAAGAAAAGGAAATAAAGAATTAAAAATTAACCAATAGTGATGATGATGATGATGATGATGATGATGATGGTAGTGATGATGTTGGTGGTGATGATCATGATCATAATACTACTGTACTTCCTGGTACTTGATTCCCATATCAATGACATATATCCATGTAACAAGGGTACACTGATGCATTTCCCTTGAAATTATCTCGGAACCTTTTACTTGGATAATCTACCTTCTGACTAGTGTGTTCTTTGAGAAATGTGTTGAGCTGCAGATCACAGAGAAAATTAGGACCCACATTAGAAAACAGAAGGTAGTTAGTAAACTTGTACACATTGGTAATTATTAATTGCACTAGAGCCTGGTGCATGAAAATTCATGCACTGGAGTGGGGGGAGTCCCTCAGCCCAACTTGCCCCCTCTCACAGTCTGGGAGTCCTCAGGGGCAGGAGGCAACCCAGTGATCAGGGGAAGGTGATGCCCTATCACACCTCTGCTGCTGCCACTGCTGGCAGTGCATGCCTCGGCCAGCCCTGGTTACCTGAGCCCTGGGCGGCCCTGTGCAGCTGGGCAGCCAATATCTGAGGCTTGCCTGCACCTCAGGCCAGCCTTGGCACCTGGAGAGCTGAGGTAACTGGGGGACTCTGGAGGCAGGTTGAGGGGGCTGGGTGCCGCCATCTTGTGCCACTATTTTTGAGGGAGGGGCAGTCAATTAGCATATTTCCTCCTTATTGGCTGTGGGTACTGCCATCCTTACAATGGCATAAGTGTCAATTAGCATATTCCCTCTTTATTAGATAGGATTATTAGCATGTTGGCCAGAGCTTATGACTTGTGCATGTGTGATCAGTATACAGGCATTGTTACATGTACACATGTTTGAATGACAAGCAAATTACATTTACTGATTTTGTTAGTATATGTTTTTTGAATACTGAAAACCTTAGAAAGAAATAAAAATGTGGACTGCCACCAGTGGGACTAGCAAAGAATGAGTTATTTGTGTCACAGAAAAATATAGATGATAGAATAAAAATCACATGTCCAGATTGACATGGAAATTAGGGGATGGGAGAAGAGGAATGTGTGGGAGCAGTAATTTGGCTGATCTTTCTGGAGAAGGTGAAGATGCTAAACAGAGGAAAATAAAGGGGTTTCATTCCATGCAGCCAGGAGTTTGACAATGGCTCAGATTTCAGAAATGTGACAAGCCAAGGTCACTTGGCCACAAATCCTATTTTCTGTGGTTTCAGATTTACTCATCTGTGAAACATGGGACTTCCTAGCCATTGTAAAGGAACAAAACAGGTGATCCCCAAGAGAATGAGTTGCTGATTCAGATGCTGAAGAAAGAAAGGACTATACAGTTGCTGGCTCAATCTCCTTCCGCATTTCTGGCCTCAGTTCTCTTCTCCACGAGTAAGACTCAAAGCCTGTCCTGCCTGCTCTTCAGTTTGGACAGTTCACGGGGAAATTCCTCTATAGGGTGAATCAGATCTGCTTAGAGGAGCATAAGTTCCTGCAGGCACAATACCCTCTAAGTTTCCTCTCTAGCAGCACAGTTTGAGGCGTGGCCTCGATGTTGACCGCATATTTAGAATGTCAACCCACGTGGGAATGATTCCTTCCAGTTAGCATGATCCCACATTGAAGAGTTTAACTTGGATTCTGTTTCTCTCATTTCATTTCTCTTCCCTTTGTCCTACTTTCCCCCGTGGCTGAGAGATGTTTTTCCATTTCATTTTGCAGACATGTGAGCAATCTCACTCCCCCATTTCCCCCACCCCATACTTCCACACATCTGTAAGAGCAATGTTCACATCTGGAGGCCATTCTCATCTGGAAGATTTCTTTTGACATTCTTTTCTTTGAAACTCAATCCATGTAACCTCTTGTTCAAAATGGGCCTCTGAACTACTGGAATCATTTGCAGAGGCTCAGAAAAAAAGTCCTTAGTTTTATCCCTATGTGGTGGAATTTATGAGTCAACCCAAACCCAGCATTTTGTTTCTGATTGCTTTTTCTTTTCATAGTAATTCTTTTTCTGAGCTTCATGTTGAAAGGGACTGGAAGTCCTAACCTAGGTCACATGCAAAAGGAAGATGGAAAATGAGATATTCAGCAATCACAATGGTGAGTCTTGTTCCTAGCTCTGTGGACTTGAACTAGATAGTCATTTCCTCATCAATAAAATCAGGGTTCATTGTTTAAAACTTGATTAATACCCCCTGCTTTGTTATCTCATAAGATTATGCCAGGATAAGGTGAGATAACACATCTGTGTATGCCTTGTGTCACCCTGGGTAAGATAAGGATGAAGGAGAAAGGGGAAGGGTCTCCCATCAGGATGAGACAGTATTTGCATTTGCATACACCTCCTCCCTCCCCCCCAACTCTGTGGCTCTGTGATACACCACTGGGCAGGGGAGAGACAGAAATATCTGGAACATGAAAGTCCTGCAGTCAGCTGCAGGCTCTCATTCTAACCAAGTAGACCAGAGTATTTAATTGGTGATTCTCAAACTTAAAGTGCATAAAAAGTACCTGGCCATTCTGACAAAATGCAGGTACTGGTTCAGCAGGTCTTGGGTGGGACTGAGGTTGGCAGTTCTAACGAACTCCCATGTTATACTTAAGCGATTCATCTCCAGCCCAAATACTCAACCTCAAGGAGCAAGACAATGTGTCATGTTGGCAGTGTCAAATCTCAAGAAGTCAGTCTTGTGAAGGAGAGGCGTGGAAGGAAAGGAGATCCACATTCCTAAACTGCACAAACACTGTTCAGCTCAACTTTGACCCTCTCCTGCCAGGAGGCAGAAGCCACATGGCCTTTTGGGTGTGAAGTGAAAACTAACTGCCCTATTTCACCCCATTCCCTGCCCTCAAGTATTTCCCCTTCAGAATTAGGTTCACGCCTAGTGGAGAAAATGCCATAGCTATGGATGGCTGCCTTTGACCTTCAGCAAGTTGCTCACCACCAGACAGGAAGTTGCTACAAGAGGAGAAACACCAATGCTTTTTCAGCTGGGCATTGCCAGCCAGCTTCTCTTGCCCCTGAGCCATGTTGCCTGTCAACCAGAGGGCAGGAGAAAGGCAGGGATGGAAGTAGGTAAGAAGGCAGAGAGGAAATGATGTGAACAGGAGCACCCGGGCTAAAAGCCATTTGAGGGCTCCTGGTCACACAGACACACACCCAACAGGATAGAAAGTTAACAAGCCTCAGAGGGAAGACACCAGTGGGTGTGAACCTTGAGAGCAGGAGGCCAGAAGTTTATATTCGTTTTTTCCATTATATTATTTTAAAAATGTGTACTAATAATAAAAGGAGAAAAAATATCCTACTTCTTCGATGAACTGGCAAGACAGAGGGAAAAATTGAAAGACTCTTTATGAAAACCAAGGGAATCATTAAAGGGTGTGGAAGGGGGTGGGGAGAAGTTGGTAAAAATCCTGTACTAAAAGCTAAAACATGTCTTGAAAAATGACCAAAAAATAGTTTATAGTAAGGTCTAAAAAGCTGAAATGAGACACCGCCCAGGTGTGGGCTCCTAGTGGCTCTCAAATAAGGCAGAGAAGGCTGATGCCACGTGGCCCACTCATTGCCACCACATCAGTGTGTTGCTGGCCAGGGGCCACCCCAGCCAACAGAAGGGTGTGGGACAACAGACCACCATTCAGAGAGACAGCTAAAGTGTCAGGAAGATTTTTTTTTAATTCCAGACACACTTGCACCCTTGCTCCAAACTGCCATAAGGAAGAGCCTTCTAAAACACAGACAGCACCACGCTGCTCAAAATCTTTCATGGTTTCCCATGGCCAACAAAGGAAATTCCAAACTTCTTAACATGGCATTCTATGCTTTCCACAGCTTTGCCCTGGTCCACTGTTTCAGTCATCTCCAGTGACTCCTGCCAACCCCCAACCACCAAGTCATCTAACCAGACTGTTCTCCACCAAGCCATGAACTTTTTCCCTTCCATGCCTTTGCATGTTGTTATAATTCCTCATGTGGTTTATCTTCCAAATAAGCTCTATTCGCCATTTTAAGAGTACACAGGAATAGCATTAAATTTTTTTTCAAAGTAATACCTTCCCGTAATTTAATTTTTTAAAAGGTGAGGAAGACTTAACATGCAAAGAAGCTATCTCTCGCCTTCCTCTTCCTCCTGCCCATGCCCTCTCCCTCAACTAAATCATCTTTCAGTCTAAATTTTCTCTCCTGGTGGTTACCTTCATTTCTTTAGAAACTATTTCTTGATTTCTCTTAAGTTATTTGTTAATTTCATGATTTTACATAGCCTTCTTTTTTTTTTTCTTTCTTTTTTTGCACATCTGACTCTAATAAATGAGGGTTTTGCACACATAGAACATACTGCTGTTTTCATTTTCCCAGTGGAAACCTTTCATCACTTTAAGATAAGTTATGAGAAAAAAACAACATCATGGTAGGAGTAAGAGTTCAGGCTGGGAAGTCAGCCTGGCTGTGTCCCAGTCGCTAACTTACTATACTTAGCACTGTGTGATCCCAGTCAACTGAACTAACTTATCTGTGCTTATGATATCTTCATTGATGGTGTAGGATACAAATTAGTGTTTCCTTTGGCTGTAAAATCTGTACTGGTCTCTCACTGCAGCAAAACTATAATCTGTATCTCTCTTCACTACTGTTCGAGGTTGGAGATCCTGCCTCCAGATCCTACATCTCCCTCTAGCTTGCTTTTTACACCCTCATCTTGCAGGAGTGTGTTCTCAAATAACCTTCTTAAAAAAATGTGTAGACCTCACCGGAACCAGTTTGGCTCAGTGGATAGAGCATCGGCCTGTGGACTAAAAGGTGCTGGGTTTGATTCCGGTCAAGGACATGTACCTTGGCTGCGGGCACATCCCCAGTAGGAGGTGTGCAAGAGGCAGCTGCTCAATGATTCTCCCTTATTGATGTTTCTAACTCTCTATCCCTCTCTCTTCCTCTTTGTAAAAAATCAATAAAATATATATTAAAAAAAAAAAGATGTGTAGACCTGAAACTAATATAATATTGTAGATCAACTATAGATGAAAAAAAAATTAATTATTTTTAAACGTTTAAAAGTAAACATCTCACCTGTCTTCAAATATCTTTTACTCTGCCTTTAAAATTCACAATTACTTTTGCTAGTTATACAATCCTAGTGGAAAGTCATTTTATGCATTCATTTGTTGCTTCTAGCCTTGCTGGGGATCAAACTCACAACCTTTAATTAACTGAGCTACTGGGCCATTCTGGATTATTCTAAGTGTTTGTTTGTTTTTTTATTCATCATTTCATATATATCTTTTTATTTTATTTTTCCTCTATTTTATCCTCCAACTTTTTAATTAGATTTTTTCCTCTTATTTAATTTCTGTAGTCTTAATCAATATCTCTAGAGGATACAAATTCATTTTATTCAAGCTCCTTATTTACCCAGAAGTATATCTTATATTCCTTTTGGTCATTTCTCTACTTCACAGTGTTTCTTTTTCATATATCCCAATTCTCTCATATACTTACTCACTGGGGGGATTGGCAAAACTGACCATAAATTCAATGAAAACCAACATACATGGCTGACTATTGGGCTCCATTTCAGGCTGAGTAGACATGGACCCAGATGTGGCATTAGCTCCCAAGCCAACAACAGCTTGTTCAATTTCTTCAGAGAGGAACAATCCTTCCGCCATGACCTCTGGTTGAAGAAATAAGGGGGTTTCCTCTAAGTCTGTACCTCCCGCTTGTCCACTATTAAAGTGCTGTGCCCTTCCAGAATTCAAGAAAAATCGCCCTGGACAACCGCCAGCAGTGTGTCTGTTTTTCGCAGCACCTTCCAATGTGTACCTCACTTCATCAGCCCTCAGTTCTCCTCCTGCTTCCTGTAATCCATGTATCACACCATTGTTTATTCTCTGCAAACCTTCTTCACATTCTCCTCATTGTTGAAGTTTGTACCAATTTTCATTCCTTTGGTGTCATGCCATGAGGGTTCAAAAGGTAAAGAAAATAGATGTGTTCCAAGAAACCAAAAACAAAAATGACAATTCTAAAAGTTTCCAGAGGTGTAGATCCCCTGAAAAAGAACAGGAGTTGTTAATATCAACAATGGATGGTGGCCAAGAAAATAATTGTTTCACTATTGAAAGATAAGAACCTTCACCCTATAACTTTGACACTGATTAAATTATCTTTGAAATCTGGAGCAATAATGACATCGCAGGACCTATAAACCTCTTTTAATAGCCTCTTGGAAGAAATTCTCCAGTAAGAAATAAATATAAGAGAACACTATAGGACTTGTCTTTATTAAGAAAAAATAAATAAACATTATATGCATCTTAATCTTTTTCTAAAAAAGAAACAAAAAATGAAGGTTAAGATATAAAAAAGAGAAGTAGACTTATGGAGAAGTAGGCAGCATGAATAAATGGGAGGATTCATACCTAGACACATTATAATGAATTTATAAAGTATAAAAATTGGCAAAGAATACATTTAAAGCTTGCATAGATAAATAACTATTATCGAAATTAAAATGGCAATCACTTTATGAAATGAATAAGTATGACCTGGATTCTAAACTGAATAAGAACAACACACACAAAAATTATAGTATCTACATAAATATATATTATTGTGTCTCACATGTACAAGAAACTCTTTCAAACCAACATGAGACTGGAATCCCAAAAGAAAAGTGAACAAAACATGGAATACACAATTTAGAAAATGGATACCAAGTATGAGATGAGATATGTATTTCTAGGAAGACCAAGAAATCAGAGAAATACAAATTTTAAAACAGTGACTTACTACTTTATATACATCCAATACACCATAATTAAAAAGCTGAGTAATACCAAGGAATGAAGAAGATTCAAGGAAATAGACTTATGCGTGTATTTCCGGAGCAGCCTTAAACTGGCACAGCATCTCTAGGAAGCAACCGGGAGGGTATTGAGTAAAAATTAAATATTCATATACTTTATGCCAGCAATCCCCCATGTTGGGTCTGTGCTCAGAGAGGCTCTTACAGAGATCCACGGAGCACAAATATGAGAGTACTTGTCCTAGCATTAGAGACTATCATATCGGGTCTAGTAATAATTAATGTCGTTTTTAAACATTTGTTTAAAATCTTGCTTGGTGTTGACTTGTATTGACATAACCTTCAAACACGTGGTATCTACAGAACGTGTGAAGTGCAATTAACAAGTTTTGCTTGAAAAAGTTTGTGTTTGGTTTGGTTTTTGTTGCAAAACTAGGGCTAAGAAGATGGCGGATGAAGAGCATATTCGGCACTGCATGCTTTACGAGTTCCAATTAGGAAGAAAAGCAAGTGAGGCTGCAAAAAACATCTGTAGTGCTCTTGGTCAAGATGCAGTTAGCGCCAGAAAATGCCAGAGTTGGTTTGAGAAATTTCGCGAGGGAAATTTTTCGTTAGATGACAAGAGTGGTTGAGGCCGTGTGTCCAATTTTGATCAAGAAGCTCTTCAAGCTCTTTTGGTGCAAAATCCTCAAATTACCCAACAAGAGCTTGCGACAACTTTAAATTGTTCACAAAAAACAATTTCCAATCAATTGCATGCACTTGGCAAAGTCCAAAAGTTTGGAAAATGGGTTCCTCATGAGTTGAGCGACAACAACCGTAATCAAAGAGTCACAATTTGCAGTTTGCTCCTCTCTCGTCAAAACCGTTTGCCGTTTTTAGAGCAAATTGTTACCGGAGATGAAAAATGGGTGCTGTATGTTAATTTGAAAAGGCGGCCTCAATAGTTGGACAAAAATGAGGCTCCGCAGCCCACGACAAAACCTGACTTGCATGTGAAAAAAGTGATGTTGTGTGTTTGGTGGAATTTTAAAGGAATTCTTCATTATGAACTTTTACCATCTAACCAAACCATTACAAGTGCAGTGTATAGTGCCCAATTGGAAAGGTTAGCCCAAGCTTTAAGAGAAAAAGAACCCGCGCTGATTAATCGGAAGGGCGTAATTCTTCACCACGATAATGCACGACCGCATACTGCAAGAATCACTGCTGAAAAACTGCGCCAGTTGGAATGGGAAGTTCTCCCTCAACCTGCATATTCTCCTGATATTGCCCCTTCCGATTACCATTTGTTTCATTCTTTGCAAAACTTTCTTCTTGGAAAAAAATTTCATAATGAAGAATGCCTCAAAAATGCATTGACCGAATTTTTCGCATCAAAATCACAAGAATTTTACAACAGAGGGATTAAAATGCTTCCTGAGCATTGGGCACAAGTAGTAGAAAACAACGGCAACTATATTGTTGATTAAATTTTGTTGTATTGTTTAAATAAATTCGATTTTAAAAAAAAATATTAGAAAACGACATTAATTATTACTAGACCTAATATATGAGTCAGTGACTGGCAGCTGGAAGCGTAGGGGAGTGAGGAAAAGGGGAGAAGCAAAATGGGAGTGAAGGTCAGGGGTGAAATGAAAAAACAAATAACCAAAATAAAACCAGAATGCAACCTTGCAAAGCCTGTTAATGAACTGAGAAATGTGTTTAACTCAGCTCTCTGCACCTGTCATTCCACTGAACCAAAAATCTTTGCATACAAGTAGCTATTATCACCTGGTGTCCTATTGTGGGTCAAGCACTCTGGGTAGAAAAATAAATGAGCAACTGCCACCAGAGTGCTTCACTTGCTTTGATCAAAGAGGTAAGCTGTGGAATGGACATGACCTTCCACTCCTCATCCCTCCATTCATCTGCTCTAGTAGAAACAAGAGAGAAGGCCTCACCCTCTATAAACAAACCCCTCCCTGGCCCTCAGTAATCTCCAGGCTTAGTGTTTCCCACCCAAACCTCATTTCCCTCTGCAGAACTCTTGTGGAGCAGGTTGCTCAACCTCTAAGCAATCCTGCCCATTTCACCTGGAGTCACATTGAAGCAGTGTTGACATTTGTCCCTTGTACTCCCCAAAGCGTCAATACAGCCATCTCCTGAGTCTGGGGCTCTTTTTTTTTTTTTTTTTTAATATTTTATTGAGTTTTTACAGAGAAGAAGGGAGAGGGATAGAGAGCTAGAAATATCAATGAGAAACATTGATCAGCTGCCTCCTGCACACCCCCCACTGGGGATGTGCCCACAACCAAGGTACATGCCCTTAACCAGAATCAAACCTGAGACCTCTCAGTCTGCAAGCCAACAATCTATCCCCTGAGCCAAACTGATCCCGGCCTGAGTCTGGGGCTCTTATGGAGAAGAAGGGCTAAGGAACCAGATGGAGGCAAGATCCTGTGTCTTCTGGGAGAAAATAAATTATTTTTGCAGCAATTACTTCTCCACCCTTCTAGATAATCAACCTGAACACCTGGAAAAAGAAATCCCACTCCCACAGATAAGGACCAGAACGGGCTTGTTGAAGCAGCATAGAAACAGAGAGAAAACAGCACCAAGGTGAACTCAAGAGCTGGTGAAGCGACAAGAAACCAATTTTTTCCCCATGGGGACATTGCTGGCATCTTTTTCTTCCACATATTCCTGCATCAGAAATCTCTTTAGAACCAGACCTCAGTTTTTCTATTTCCCCTAGATCCCTATTCTATCTATATTGCCTCAGCTGGTTCCCTGGTTCAGATACCACTGCACCCTTCTCCCCTACCTGGCATGGGGGCCTTCAATTTTGACTTCTCCAGACCTCACCAGACCACAAAATGGCCTTGAATCCTATTCATCTTGCTTTGTTTTCCTCAGCCACCAAAGATCTGGGCAGTCAGCTATCCTCATTCATTTTTACCCTGTGGACAAAGTGGCGTCCTGAGGCCAAAAACTATAGAAATGAAAGTTATAGACCCTGCCCTTAAGGAAGGTGACCATGGGTCACCTGTTAAACATAAGCCATTATTCCTGGCACTTTTATATAGTACACTACCTTTCTTTCTTTATATTCACAATGACCTCAGCAGTTAAAGCCCCATTTTCTGTTTTCCCAATGGGTAAACAGAGCCTCTCAGACGTGGAAGATGTGCCTCAAGTAACAGCTGGTATTTGACAAGACCAGCGTTTCTGACACCAAGCCCAGGCACTTTTCATAATACCAACTTTGCATTCAAAAGAATCTGTCCTGCTTGGAAATACAGAGCCCTTTGCCTTGAAACAGACTCAAAAGTATTTTCAAAAGATTCATGTCAACAAGAACAAAGGCACAATTAAATGAACTCTGAGCTGGTATGCTCTGGTCTCTTCATGGAAAGGAGGGGTTCAACTGCAAACACTTTCTAAAGGGAGACACCTTGGAAATCTAGTTGGAAGAACAAAGGGTGGTAGATTGTCAAGGAAGAGAAAATGAAGTTGGAACAAGCCTCTTCTCACGGAATGAATTTTCCACTCTGTCTCCCAGAGAAAGAGAAGTCGTGATGAAACGTGGCAGAGTGGACTCAGGTTAAACAGCACGAAAAATGTTTCTGGCGAAGAGGGAGTTAAATACCAAACTATTTCATTAAAGGAAGTGGTGAAATGTAGATTTTTTTATTTTTCCCCCTCAGATGGTTTTGGCTTACTCCTGTTGGAAACAGGAGATGGAATACAAGAGCTCTGGAAACCTCCTCTGAAAATGGCAGTTCTGCAGCTGTAAGATAACTTTATAGCACGCACATTTTAAAAAAAAAAAAAGGGTACAGGGCAACCTGGATAATGACAAACTATTACTCAACCCCAGGCCCTCCCAGAAAGCTCCTGCAGAAGTTTTTCTCACTTTTCCTCCCTGGTTCCCATACTCCGACAAGCACGAACCAGAAAGGGCCTGAGTCACCTGGGCACGTGACTGAAAGTGCACGGGGGCCCCTCCACACTTGGCACTGCCGCATGAAACCGAAGTCACCGTGCTCTGCAAGCTAAGGAGCACCGGGCAGTTACAGGTTCGTGTCAGGAAACATCCCGGGGCTTCCTTCCCTCCACTCAAGCTTTAGAGAAAATTCTTGGCCATGATTCACTTCCAAGGCACAAAGGCCTGGCTGTAGGACCACTTGCCGGCCCTAGAAGTTACCATGTTCACATCTGGGGTCTGCCGGAGGCTGCTGATCCAGGATCCCCGAGGGAAATCTCAGCACCACTACCTATGTTAGCCGTCCTTCACTGGTTTTTCACAGAAGAAGACGTTTCAGTGGCTCCTTCCCCGCTCTCTGGTTGCTATTCAGGTATGTGTCAGTCAGTTAGTCAGTGGAACAGTTGGATAATTAGTTGGTTAATTGGTTAGTCAGTTGGACAGTCAGTTTTACAAATAGTACCAGGGCAAAACACACCTCTGAGAAAATGATGTTGTTCACAGATCCATTAATGGTTTCACTGCCCCCGCGGGAAATCAGAAAAGGCCTTGAGCAGGAAGTTCACAGGAATAAGCGTCTCTCTTCCTGCTGCAATGATTTCCATTCCCCCAGAAACTAAGTTTAGTCAGACCGTAGGAATCTCCTAGAGCAGCCTCATCGCCTTCCAGGAAAGGAAGCCCAGGCCCAGAGAGATGAAGCGACTCACCCAGGGTCACAAAGCTGGTCAGTGCCCTTCACCTGGGAGGGGACCAGCACATATCCACAGAAGGAGGGGGCCATAGGCCATTTCCTTTTTGTGTTTCAAGTCATAGGGTTTGTGTAAGATTGATAAATATAGTTTTAGACATTTCTTCCTCCTGTTCGTGTCCCAACGACCATTGCCATCGCTGCGCGCGCGCGCGCACACACACACACACACACACACACACACACACACACAAATTGTCTGCTCTACTGCTTCTAAGAACTCACTAAGACTTTGATTTCCATGAAAATATTTTAAATTTATAGACACCATCAATTCCTTTAGCAGAACTGGGACTGGCTTCCTCATCCACAGGAGTTGGCTCTCTGTAAGCTCAGGCTTCAGGGCAAATAAAGTTATGTTTCCATCCAGATTTGTCACCTACTTTTTCCCCATTCTTCCCTCCCAATTCCCATAACCCACCTCTTCACCATCAAAATGGACTAGTCAATTGTATAAAAAAAAAAAAAAAAAAAAAAAAAAATTGGATGGTTAAAAGAGTTGGGGTTTTCAAGTTAAAAGGCCTAGATATGCATTAGTGTCATGGCCTCACTCAAGACATTTACTGATTGGCATCTATAAATTGGGGACAGTAATGCCATGGTGCCATGAGAATGAAGTCGGATTGTATTTTGGGAAAGCCCTTTGGGAATTGCTGAGAGGAAATGTAAGGGATGTTCGTGACTGCCTCCAAGCTGCCCTGTGCCTGACCATGTGGCAGAGTTCATAGACCAAAGGAAGGGTGTCGGCCACTGGGCGGGGCCAGAGGCAGGACTAGAGATTAGAAATGTGGTGTTCTCCACCTGTGTACACAGGAAAGAGCCTCTTCCCACAGTCCTCAGAGGGGCCACTGCTAGGGCACGCTGTGGCTAGGGCCAGCTGTGAGTACCATCCCAGAATGCATTGCTACTGCTGGTCCAGGTCAGGCCCCAAAGCTATTTTTTTTTTTTTCCTTCTTTTTTTTTCTTTCTATAGTTGGTTCTCGTGGCTTCTGGAGCATTTTAAAGAGGCTTATCACTACTGGCCTGGCAGGCAGACAACTTACTTTAGGGCAACAACTCATTTTTCCCCCCAGTCTGAACTTGTACAAGTAGAGAATATTGGGGATATGGACACTTAGAGTAATTCACTATTACCCCACGTCCTTTAAGCACTGTTTTCCCTTCCCAGTCCAATATCTTCAGCAGTCTTAACAAAAAAATGATAATCTCCTATCTAAGATGGATGCCTGACCTTCCTTCTCCATCTCAAAAGACTTTGTTACTTCCAGAAAGAGCATCCTCTTTTACTCAAGGTAACCAGTCTCGCCAACTAATTACTTCATCACTTCTTCCCGAGCTCTCCTCCTTGGGTAAGATGGCTGCCTCTATCCAGCAGCACCTTCCACTTCTCTCCACAGATATTTTTTCCTCTGTCTGTGAACACAATGAGACTTCTAATCATTTGAGAAATCTTTCACTATTTACAATTCTATTTTTATGTTCTTTCCATTGTCAGACTTCTTAAATCAGTATCTATACAAGCAGTCTTTTTTCCTGAAAACAGTGTTTTCCCCACTTCATGCTCTCTAGAAACTTTACTTCCAAAGGTCGCCAAGGAAATGTCTAAAGATCAATAACTAGTTTTCTCTGCTCATTCTTCCTCTCCAGCATTCATGTCCAGTGGAGTTCACTCCTCCTCTGTATCTGTGGCAGCACACACCCTCATGTCTGTTTCTCTGCCTGCTCCCATGTCTCCTTTGTCAACTCTTCCTTTTACTGTTTCCTTAATGCACACATTTGTCCTGATTCAGTTCCCAGGGCCTCTGCTCTTCTATTTATTTTCTTTCCCTTGTTAATTTCATTTTAAAAATATATTCAAAATCTATATCTCTATATATAACTAACTCTTACCTCAAAATGTCTATTAGATGCTGTCATGATGATTCGATATACCTAATATTAAATTCATCATCTCTCTGGCTTCTGCATTTCTGTTAGAAATACAGCTTCTCTCTTTACTAGTCACTTAGAAGCTAAACTTAAAAACCATTACTACTTCTCTACTTTATTAAAACCATTATTACCTCTACTTCTCTCATCCCCATATGTTGTCAACTACCAAGTTCTTTCTAAAACCTTTTCCATCTCTTTTCTTTCTTACTCATTTTATCCCTATTGACTTCATGCTCATGAGTTCAGATAATTCATTCTTTTAATCATTCATTTAACAAATGTGTATTGAGTGCCTATTCTGCACGAGGCTTTGTGTTAGAATTAGGTAAGCAAAAACAAATACAGACACCTATCTCCCAGCGATGGATTTTATAAAGTGTATAAGGTGCTCAAGATAATACTAATGAGTATATAACTATGAATTGAAATGAGTATTCTAAAAAAAGAACACAATTCGGGTTGAAACAATAAGTATGAGTAGAAGTTGACTAGAAAAATGGACATGGCATGCTGA